TGAGGAACTCAGCATCCCTCGTGGCCTTTTGCTTCAGCTGTGAGTGACTGAAATGCAGATCTTTGCTGCAGGTCTTCGGTGCATGTTTCTGTTGTAAAGTGTCCAATAACGGGGAAAAAAGAAGTCCCACTAGAAAGATGATGGATCCTACATTTCTCACAGTGCAAATTAAAAGTTGAGAACGTCCCAACAAGCTGAGTGGCAGCAGTCCTGACAGATAAACTAGTAACGGTAAAATGTCTTCTCAAGTCCAGTCGATCTTAGGTTGGTACGTTAAGACAGCGCTCATGGTTTTAACGGCAGCTCCAACAGTCCTGATGTACCAGGTTTCACTTACCGGTACCAGTAGAGATATTATTACCTGTGAGATCTCCACCAAAGCCACCAGATCAGCAATAGAGACTTCGTTGCCGATGATGAACGGTTTGTCCTGCAGGAACTTCTGCTCCAGCAGGTCCAGTGACTGCTTCAGTTCCTCGAGGGCTGCGTCCATCTTCTCCTTTGGGGCCTTGCCGTCCACGATGACGGGATAAAAGACCTGAGAACAGAGACGCAGGGAGATCATTGGGTACCAGAGGCCGCTGTTGATGCTCCGATAAGACGGAAACAAATTAAACTAGATTTACAGCTTTTGGCTCATACGTGCTTTAGAGAGTCGCTCCATGAAAAACCAGTCAGTGCCTCTTTCCTCACCTCCTCAGAATCAGCTGGTTCTTCATCTACAGTAACTTCAGTTTAGTTAATGAAGTTATGCAAAGTTTTACCTTCATACTGTGAATACTTTCAGAGTTACAGGCTCTCAAAGGTCCAAATTTCACACTTTTAAAATGACTTTTTCCCATCATTTCTGAGCCTCAGACCTTCATCAGTCCAGCGGACACATGACATGTTAGAATGAAGAACACATCTGAGATCTAGTAGAAACTGACACCAGATCAGTTTTATATCCATCCAGGTGTCACTCTGGATCTGGTTTTGTTCACCATGATTGTTTGTCTATAATTTTTTTAATCATTTTGACGAATTTTAAAGCCATTACAGAACAATGCTTGAATCAGTCTGAACATTTTATGAGCAAGTTTTGAACAATGTTAAACAAATTTTACATAATTTGGGGACATTTTTGAGTCACTGAACAAACTGCAGATAATTTTGAACAAATTTTGTTACAATTTTAATAAATATGACATTTTTCTTGACCGTGAAATCTTTTTTTTTTGGCAATTTTTAAGTTATTTTTGGACAAATCTTGAGTTGTTGCAGACTTTTTTTTTTAGCCACTTTGGTTAATGTTTTGGTAACTTTGGGCATTTTTAAAAAAAAATCATTGTGGACTGGAGCTTGTCATTTTGATAAAATACTGATACATTTTGAGATTTTGAACATTTTCTCTCATTTCTTTTTTGATAAAGGTATATTTTAACATGCGAAAATGTAGCTTATGGCAGTGAAACTAAGAAACAACATTGGTGTTAAAGGGTTTTATATAAGAGTTTGGACAAATCCCACTATTTAAACAAGCTTGCATGAAATAAATAAATGTACAAAGATGTTGTACATAACAATCTGACAATTCTGAAGGCATTAGGTGGGAAGATTTTTCAGATTTGGCAGATTTTATAGAGTCATAGAAACAATCATTTGTAGCCTGGATGTGTTTCTGTTTGTTTTTATCCACAATGAGCCAAAAAATTTAGAAAAATACCTTCAACTTATCCATGTTTTCTCAAAAGCTTCCCAAAATGATAAAAAAAAAAAAAACTGCTCAAAACCTAAAACCTTTCCAAAATTCAGTTAAAAAAACAAACAAAAAACACCATTGTTGAGTCAAAAATTTATTGAAAATTGACTAAAAGGCAATTAATCTGTCCAAAATTATTCAAAACCTGTCCTGGATGAGTTATAAATTAAACAAAATTACCAGAAAAATACTTACAGTCACTTAAAAATGGTTCAAAAATGATTTTTAAAAAAAAAAATGTTCAGAATCACTCAAAAATGACCCAATCAAATTTATAATGTGTTACATGTGTTTCTGGTTTCTGATCATTCACCAGAGAAAAGTTTACAAAGTGCATTCTGGGTAAACTTTCCAGGCTCGTATCAGCATGTGTGCTGGTGGTTGGTCAGAACAAGTTCTAGACAATGGAAGGAGCATTTTTACCAGGATCAGAAAAAAAATAAATAAATCTTACGAACAATCAGTGCATAAAACATATGATCATTCCAAAAACGTCTTTTAAATTTAAATACGAACTAAACTATGTGGTAAAGTATAATGGTGGTAGTTGGAGGAGAGTATCTCCAGTGAAATCAGGCTGCCTCAGCGTCTGTAGCTTTAAATGCACGATCAAGATAATGACAGTCGCACTTATTATATAACTAATTACTCGAGAGCAAATTAAACAAACAGAACAAACAAACTAAACAATGTAGTGTATGTACAGGAGTCAGCCAGAGAAGGTTGCAGCTTGGGGTGGATTTGGGATACGAACCATGAGCAGGAAGACCTTTGAAGCATGACTTCGCAGATTCAGATGTTGCCAGGACAAGTACTCGTGGACACGAGCTCGCTGCTGCAGGTCGGCTGGGTACCAGTGATCCGCCACAGAGTGTTTCTTTGCCAGGTACATCAGAATGGCAGTGCTGCGACATACAGGGGACAAGTTAAACACAAGCAAAGACATGTCAGAGACACTGACTCACATCACAGCTGGTGACATGAACACATGATGCATTCAGAAGAGTGATAAGGAAAAATGGAGTCAGTGAGGTGAACCAGGACACGTGTCGTTTGCAATCAATTTTCAACTTAATACTTTTAGGACTCTATCTAACCCTCAGGTATGTTACAGAAAAACAAATAGCTTCAAAATTACACCATTTAGCAGCCAGAACTGTAGAAACAGAAAGAATTCAACTTTCTAACAGTCCTTTAACTACTCATGTCATCTGCGACTTAAAACTGTGTTATTCAATCAAAATCGCTCTATTCTCTACGTTACATCATCAAAAATCCCCCCAAAACAAACAGTTTGCACCGGATTCTGCACGAAGACTAAGCAACGGAAAAGCAAGGACTGACGCAGCAGGCGTGATTGAGAGTTTTCAGCTGAACTGCAGGCAGTGTTTACACAGAACAGACAGGAAACGAGTTAAAAACGTAAATGTAAAAGTATGTGTAAGACAGCTGTAGTGTTTAGAGCCACCG